ATGGGGGGGCAGTGTGTGTAATTGGGGGGGCAGTGTGTGTAATGGGGGGGCAGTGTGTGGTATGGTGGGGCAGTGTGTGTAATGGGGGGGGCAGTGTGTGGTATGGGGGGGCAGTGTGTGTAATGGGGGGAAAGGAGGCTTTTAAATAATATTTTTATTTTATTTAATAAAATAAATATCCTATGTCCCCCCTCCCTTCTTACCTTTCCTGGGGAGGAGGGGGGACATATTTCGATCCCTGGTGGTCCCAGTGGGATTCCCTGGTGGTCCAGTGTGGAGAGTGAACTCTAGCCCGCGCTCCCGGGCTAGAGTTCACTCTCGCGAGATTTGGAGCGTTGCCATGGTAACCGCGGCAACGCTCCAAATCTCGAGCGAGGAGGAGCCGGAGGAGCTGCAGCCTGAGCTCCGGGTCCTCACTCTCACTCCCTCCCTCCGCCGCCGGCTGTCAGCACGGTGCCTGCGGACCGGGGAGGGAGAGCTCTGATCATCCTCCCGGTCCGCAGGCACATTGCACGGCTGACAGGGGAGGGAGACCGGCGGATTTCTCGGGGGGGGGGGCAATTGCCCCGTTGCCCCCCCCCTGGATCCGCCAATGGCTCTAAATTGTTCAAGCGTTAATCACTAAAGTAAATTTAAAAATTAAAGCTGTACTGTACTGGAAAGATTTTCAGTTCAGCTACTTTGGCTTTACATTTGATATCCACTTTGAATTCTCACCTTAGCAAATGACCATGTGAATCTTTGTGAAATGCTCAGAAGTTTCATAGCTGCTTTAATTAACTGCATAATGTTCAGTATATAGTTGTACACATTTGAACACCACAACATTTCCACTTCTCTTGATTTAATGTATATTTTTATTTCATCAATAGCATGAGTACTTTAATATCATTGATTGATGCATGTATGTGAAGATCAGAAGATTAAATTTCTCTTTGAATAGGAAAAATTTTCTCCTCCTTGTAGAGATGGAACATTAACTTTTTAGAGTGAATTGGGTTGTAGCAAAATGTGTTGTTTTAACCCAAAACATATGACGTGACCTTGCATTCTTGTGATGAGTCATCCTTTCTCACCACCTCATAATTGCAGCTTTCTTTATTAAAAATCATTTTGCATTCCTCCTTATCAAAGTTTTGAGGTCTTCTTGAGCTGTTATGGTGAAAAAATAATTATAATATTTTCAAAAAAGAGTAATGAAGCAGATACAAACAGTAGCACTAAAAGCTTGCCTTTATAAAATATATTGCTAACTTGCATTTTAAATTAGATTAGGTTAAATAATATTTATTAGTTTATTAATGAGAATTTGTGACAATAACTGTAACTGTCCCGTCTATATATCAAGAACCAACTTCACCAGAGTCGACTTAAGATGTGATATTACTTGGGTTATCAGAACTGGAGTTTGACTAATGTGCAGCATAGAGAAATTTCAAGTTAATCTGACTTTCTTTCACTTGAGGTAAAGCCAGGATGAATGGTACATCCTTTGGAAGCTGCCATGATAGTCACCCTCCAACCACCACATACGCTTTAGCATCCCATTTTAATTCTCAGTAAAGTCAATGGGAATTAATTCTTTACAACTTTGGGTTGCTGTGAGAATCGGATGAAAAGTAAATGCCTTGACATATAAAGCAGTAGCTGAGGATTTGATTGAATAATCCTCAACTCTCACTCCTCTAGATCTATAGAAGTCAGAACCAAAATACAGATTGCAATAAGTATGCATCAATTTGCCATAAATATTAAAATTATATTTTGTTTAGAGAATTAAAGGTGCTTAATTATTTAACAGACTGTTATAGTCCAGTAGTATACATAAACTATATGTCAAAACTTAACAAAAGTAGAAACTGGTAGCAAAGGAAATGCCGATATTCCCCTTTTTCAGTTCAGGGGGTTTCTAGACAGGATAAGATCGATGTACTAACTCTGGGTGTGAATACAGTTACTATATATTAGTTTGTCCAATTAGATTTTTTTTTTTTTTAATACTCATGATAATCTTTATTACAATACCAGTTGTATACTTCTCCGTATTTTCTCTGGTAACAGTTTCTTTTTTTGTTCAATTTTGAATTTTATTCACAGAAGGGCTATTCCCAGGACAGCTCTGGTATTGTTCTCCTGGCATTATATACCGTTGTAGTCTTTTGGTATCTTTTTTCTTCTTATAAACTTTACATGCCTTGTAAATAGGGCTAGACTGGGACAAAAGTTTATCCCAGACATTTATCCCAGACATTAAAATACAGAGCTGCCCAATAACAGGGGCAGGGCAAAGTGTTATGTCAGTTCAGGGCACCTCCAGGACAGCCCATGCACAGTGTCTCACATGGGGAAAATTTGCTATGTTTTTTCACACAACACAAGAAAACCTAATGACACATTTTTTTCTGCGTTTGCTGGTGACCTGGCTCTGGTGTCCAGATAAGTGGGATACCAGATTACAAAAGTGAGACTGGACTACGAGATATTCTTGTATGTAAATTTGTGTGTTATGGCTGCTTGTGTGGTTTTGTGCATGTCAGGAAGCTGCTCATGGTGTTTCATGTGGGATTGGTTGTGTACGGGGTGACAGCTTGTAGTGTGGAGGATGCTCCTTGTGGAGTTCTGTGTGTGCTGCCTGTGGGTTTCTGGGTATGGGAGGCTCTTTCTAGAGTTGCATGTGTGGGGGAAGTCTTCTTATGGTTTTGAATGTGTGAAGGGAGGTCACATATAGGGTTGCATTTGTTGGAAGGATGCTGCTGGGGGGTTGCGTGTGCATGTAAAAAGAGACTTTCGGTGGATAGGGGCTTTAGAGTGTGTTTGAAAGAAATAGAGGCTAAATTGTGTTTAAAAATGTGAATATCCTGCAGTGGTCTAGTCAAGGTCCTTATCTTTTCTACTGAGACATTGTGGCCGATTTGAAAAATGTAGTCTACAAGCAGCAACCAACCAACTTAAACCAGCTGGAGCAAACCTGCTAAGAAAAATGGGCAAATATATCACAAACAGTTTTTGCACGACTGGATTATACATAACTCTGTAATTACAGCAAAATATGTCATTACTAAATAATAGGGATAGGATAGGCAAGAGGCATATTTCATTTTTTTTCTTTTAATTATCTACTCAGAAATAAATATTTTTGAGTTGGTGCCAGGAGTCTCCAGTCCCTTATCTATCAAAATGCTTATGAACGGTTTAACATTTACCTTGCTGTGTCAGGTGCCCACAGCCCTTCCGTTCTGAGTTGGCCTTACAAGGCTGAAGTTCATGGTGTTTAGAGAGTTTTCATTGGAGAATATTAGCTGATGGCTCTCAGCCAGGAAAAACCTTTTAAACCTGGTATGAGGTGCATGATAATCTGGGAAAATTAACTAGTTGCATGATAACCTAGGAGATTGAACTTCTGCTTTATCAGTCCATCTTAGACTGGAAGGACCATAAGGGCCTGACACCGCAAGCTAAGTGTGAAACCATTCATAAACAGTTTGACATATTAGTGACAGATGGAGTTTGAAGACTTTTGGCACCATAACAAGTGCACCATTGTATAGTGGTTATGGTGCCTTGAGGGTCCCTTCAAGTAAGGTAAAATGTCTTTTTTTTGCTTAAAATTCATACAGAGATAATACTTACGTAGAACAGCACTGCATTCCATTGTTACTACAACTGCACTTCTCACAGCTTGGACCCTTCCATTCGTCACCAATTTCATGAACTTCTCCATCTTTCGTGCATACTAAAATAATAAATATTTATAAACATTCGTGTTTATTTAATTTGTTGAAAAAGTAAATATTTCAGATGTTTTTAATAGCACCATCCATTTATTACTGCAGTAATCTAGAGTAAACCTGACTGTATACATGTTCATTGACTTCATAGAATGATCCATGTATTACTGGAGAAGCCACAGGTCTTTTTGCCATCTATCAACTCCCTTGTCCACAAGCCTCGTAAGCTAGTGATCCAGGGCAATTGCCTCTTCTTCACTTGCCACCCTCCACCTGAAAGGGCAAATGTGAGAAACTATAAAAACCTTACATTTACATATACATGTCTTACCTGCAGATCTTGTTTTAACATTTAATGTCAGTTTTTTAAAAGAGCACGCAGCACTCGAAAGGGCAACTGATACGGAAAGGGCTACAGCAAGTGCCAATAAGATCTTCTGCAATAAAAGTAAATACAGCACACGTTAAGGTGTTTCTTACACAGATTTGCATCACGTAATCTGTAAATGATTTGAAATTATTGCATATTAAATAGAGTTGAGCAAACCCGGACTGTAAAGTTCAGGTTCGTACCGAACATTAGGTCCCCGGATCCGAACACAGGCAAATCACCGTATGTTCAGGTTGGAGTTCGGTGTTCAGAGATATAATGGCGCGTTTTGAAAGGCTGCAGAGCAGCTAATCAACAAGCGTTTGACTCGTGTGCCCTTAGAAGCCATCACAGCCATGCCTACTAATGGCATGGCTGTGATTGGCCAGTGCAGCATGTGACCCAGCCTCTATATGTAAGCTGGAGTCACGTAGCGCCGCACGCACATGCGGTCTTATTAGTGTAGGGAGAGGATGCTGCCGCTGATAGGAACAGCTTAGGAAAGAATTCTGCAAACTAGTACATTAATGGGGTGCGCTTCATATCTGAGAGTCAAATAGAAGCTTCAAATACAGCGGTTACATTGGATTTTTAAAAGTCAATTTTTTTTGTGCTAAATAGTACATTAGTGGGATAGTACATTAGTGGGGTGCACTTCATATCTGAGAGTCAAATAGAAGCCTCAAATACTGCTGTCACATTGCAGTTTTAAAACTTAAAATTATTTGGGTGCTAAAAAATACATTAGTGGGGTGCACTTCATATCTGAGAGTCAAATAGAAGCGTCAAATACTGCTGTCACATTGCAGTTTTAAAACTTAAAATTATTTGGGTGAAAAATACATTAGTGAGTGCACTTCATATCTGAGAGTCAAATAGAAGCGTCAAATACTGCTGTCACATTGCAGTTTTAAAACTTAAAATTATTTGGGTGCTAAACTGCTAAATAGTATTTTAGTAGGGTGCACATCATATCTGAGAGTCAAATTGAAGCTTCTAATAGTGTGCTTACAGCGCAGTTGTAAAAATTCATATTTACTGGGTGTTAATCTGCTAAATAGTACATTTTGGGGCCTGCTCTTCATATCTGAGAGTCAAATCAAAGCATCTAATAGTGTGCTTACTGCGCAGTTGTAAATATTCTAATTGTTTTGCTGCTAACCTGCTAAATAGTAAATTTTCAGCCTGCGGTGCACTTCATATCTGAGACTCAAATAGAAGCGTCAAATAGTGCGCTTACTGCGCAGTTGTAAACATTCTAAATGTTTTGCTGCTAATCTGCTGCTTACATTGGAGTTTCAAAAAGTGCATTTAAAAAAAAAAAAATTGGTGCTAAATAGTATATTTGGGGTGTTCACCTCATATCTGAGAGTCAAATCGAAGCGTAACTTTGATTCGAATTTACTTCATCAGTCACTTGTAATATTGTTTCACACCTACAACACTTGTTACACAGATCTAAGTGATAGAAAACAGATTGATATTTTCTACACTAGAAACTACCAGATAACAAGCTACTATGTTTAAACCAGTGATCAATAGCTAATTGGTACTTCAAAAATATTGTAATTCTGGGGCAATACCCTCACAAGTCAAACTGAGAGGTCAGTTTATAGGGAAAACTGTTGCCTGTATACAATTCTAAAACAATTTCCATATGTCCTTTGCAGACTTTACATGCTGGAAAAACACCGGTGCTAACTGCTGTGGCTTTCTGCAGTGTGCATACCGGCAAGGAGGGCAGGGTTGAGGAGTGGGTGGAAGATGATGTGGAGGATGATGAGGTCCTAGACCCCACATGGAATCAAGGTCATGCGAGTGACGTGTGGGGTTTGGAGGAAGAGGCGCTGGTCACACAGAGGCACCAGCACAGCATAAGAGGGAGCAGGGTGCAAAAGCGGAGCGGCCGTCCCCTAGCGCTCGTCGGCATGTATTAGCTCGAGAATTACCAGTAATCCAAGTAATACATGTAGCAATCAAAGAATCCATAATAGAGTTGAGTGAACCCAAACTGCATAGTTCGGGTTCGTACCAGATTTAACGATCCATTTGTAGTTTCACAGTCAGGTGGGCAGTCCGGTGACCAGGACCCATACACTGTCTGGGCGGCGGTCGGACGACCGGGACCCAGCATGCCTGATGTTGAAGTTAGGAGTCACAGTGTGGAATGGATTAGCAGGGTCTGGTGCAGGGTAACCACACGTCCCCTGGTGTTGAGCACCAGCGTTTGTACGGCCACATACCAGGACCCTGATGCAGCTTCAGTAAAAAAGAGTACTTGATACCAGAAGCCATCACCAGACTGATCCGCAACTTGGAACAGGATGTGACATTCACTGTAGCGGCTGTGCGCGCTTTTGGCGTTGTCACCCTGCTGCTGCTCGCCTGTCTGCGCTGCAGCGTAACTTCGGCCTTCCCACTCACCGCCTCATGAGACTGTGCAAGCAGCAGGTGATAGTGGAGTTTCAGCTGCAGCACGCACGGGTCAGTGGTTCTGTACCAGACTTCCCTCCAATTGATCAGAGTTAAAGGATTTCATGTGGACTCATTCCAATTACAGGGTCTCTAAAGAGTCCTGTATTGTTATTTGTCGTCACTACCTTCCCGCGTCGGGAGTGGGTCATTTGCGCGTCTGTTGCCTTCGTTGCATGTGGTAGCCGTTTCTCAGGGTTCCTGTACGGAATGGAACACTGATTCCCCATTACCCGTGGTCACCATGGTAGGTGCAGAAACTGGCATCGAAAGTTGATATGGATGACATCTGCATGCAAAGTCGCCGCCACTGGGATGTGCAATTGGCCCGAGGTTCTCTAGAGTCAACAAAGTGCCTGCGCAACTGTAATGTCAACAGCTACTCTGCGGAACAGAGTTGTCTTTTTTTATATGTCCCAATATTTTGGGGGCTACCCCAATTAAAAAATAAATAAATATATATATATATATATATATATATATAAACAGTGTTGGCTACCTCATCCTCCTTCTCCACCGCTGCTTCCACCAACACCGCCATGGTCACCGCCTCCTCAAACCTATGGGTCACTTAGTATAAACTAGGTACACATTAGCAGAGGCTTGTGAAGGCCTTTTCTCCATGCATCAGGAGTTGAGCTCAGTTTGAAGAATGAAAGAGAATACCCTGCACTCCAATCCTCTCTCAAATTGATAATTCTGTTAATCCTCATGACAGCCAAGCTTTAGATTTTGATTTATGTTCTTCCAAAGCTAAAATCAAAGATCCCATCTAGTGCTATTTTATGGCTCTGCTGTATTTTTAATTTGTATGTTATTTTAAGTGATTTCCCTCTCCACATTTGTTTGCACGCCACTTGTCCTACTCTTACCCCTATTTTACATGCTTTTGCAGCTCTTTTTTAGAGGCATTTTTGTGTCCAAAAGTTCGGGTACTCATTTACTTCAATGGGGTTCGGGTTCGAGCCCGAACCCGGACTTTTTTTCAAAGTTCGTCCGAACCCGCCGGACCCGAACATCCAGGTGTCCGCTCAACTCTAATATTAAATCATTTAATTACCATGACATTTCTCTTTTCTCTTTCCTTTTATTCCTTTATGGCAACCAAAGACAAACAAATCAGTCCCAAACGCCATGTTTATTTATTAATATCCAGGAGAATTATCAGGGTTATTTCACTAAAGTTAAAATTCAAAGTGAATTTCAATTTTAAGGGCAGAGTAGCTGGACTGGAAGTGTTTCTGATTAAAAAATTTCCAGTTTTAATATTTTCACCTTGAATTCACCTAGAATTCTCACGTTTTGAATAACCCTATATGCAGTAGCGTACATACCAGGGTCGCAGGGGTCGTGGCTGCGACCGGGCCCGGCCCACCACGGGCCCCGGCCGCCCCTGCGTCCCGGTATGTACCCACAGGGCCAGCCTCTTCTCCTGGGGGGCCCAGGAGGTGGCAACCTCAGGGCCCCCCCGAGGCTGGCCCTGCTGACCCCAGCGGGCGGGCAGGCTGGCTGTCTGGGTGGCCGGCGCGTGAGGGAGCACTCTCCCCTGTGTGCTTCCTCTTCAGCTGTCATCTTCCGGCGCCGGCATCCCTATGCGGCGCGCGAGGGAGCTGAAGAGGAAGCACACAGGGGAGAGTGCTCCCTCGCGCACCGGCCACCCAGACAGTCAGCCCGCCCGCACCACTGGACCCCAGGGAATCCCTCAACTCTCCAAAAGGTAAGGAGGCTGGGGGGATTCAATTTAAAAAAAAAATGTGTGTGTGTTTGTTAGTGTGTGTTAGTGTGTGTTTGTTTGTCTGTTAGTGTGTGTGTTAGTGTGTGTTTGTGTGTCTGTTAGTGTGTGTGTTAGTGTGTGTTTGTGTGTCTGTTAGTGTGTGTGTTAGTGTGTGTGTGTGTTAGTGTGTCTGTTAGTATGTGTTTGTGTGTCTGTTAGTGTGTCTGTTAGTGTGTGTGTTAGTATGTGTTTGTGTGTCTGTTAGTGTGTGTTTGTGTATTAGTGTGTGTGTGTGTTAGTGTGTTTGTGTGTTAGTGTTTGTGTGTTAGTGTTTGTGTTAGTGTGTGTGTGTTAGTGTGTTTGTCAGTGAGTGTGTCTGTTATTGGGTGTGTGTCTGCTAGTGAGTGTGTTACTGTGTGTGTCTGTTACTGAGTGTGTTTGATGTCTGTTAGTGAGTGTGTGTTTGTCAGTGAAGTGTATGTTTTGTAAGTGAGTGTGTATGTATGTCTGTCGCTGGTGTGTCTCTGTCAGTAAATGTGTGTGTCTGTTAGCTAGGTGTGTATGCGTCTGTTAGGTGAGGTGTGTGTGTGTGTCTTCAGCACTTACCTTTCTCCAGCGTCCGGACTCCTTGGCTAGGGGATCCCTCCGCCCTCTCAGCTCCGAATGCACATGTGAGGCAGAGAAGGCGTGCATTTAAACCATAGGAAAGCATTACTCACTGCTTTCCTACGGACGTTCAGTGTCTTCTCACTGTGATTTTCACAGTGAGAATCGCGGAAGCTCCTCTAGCAGCTGTCAATGAGACAGCCACCAGAGGCTGGATTAACCCTCAGTGAAATATAGCCGTTTCTCTGAAACTGCTATGTTTTCAGCTCCAGGGTTAAAACTAGAGGGACCTGGTACCCAGACCACTTCATTTAGCTGATGTGATCTGGGTGTCTGTAGTGGTCCTTTAAGTGTGTGTGCATACCGCGGTCGCGGGGTCGCAGCCCTGCAACCCCTGCGACCAGGTGCCCGCCGCCATGTGTTGCAGACCCGACCCGCGCCAAGTAAGCGCGGGGGGGGGCACGGATCAATTTTCGCACCAGGGCCCCATGGGTCATGTGTACGCCACTGCCTATATGTTTGCAAAAATCCCTGCATTTGCAATGTAAATCATAGGTGTTGCAAGAAAGGGCTTTGGGGGTTGAAGCCCTAGATATGGGGTTCTTTAGTCCATGATCTCCACACTGTTTTGGGGTTTTGAGGACAGGTGGGGATGGGCCCTGACATATCTCTACCTCTCCGATAGTGTAGGTGTTATCTAATGTCATTTGGACTCAATCCCAAAGTGTTTTTGGAACCTTGCAACATCACCGGTGTAAATAGACAGCACAATAAAGTAAAAAAAACAAACACAGATATACAAACTTACAAATGTACTTTCATTGACAAATACCTATACATTTTAGGCATGCAATTTCTGTAATGACACCTACACTGGTGCCCTATTTCCTCTCTGACAAATTAAATGCCCCTTTACCTGTATATGTAACAGGCAGGGCTGTATTTAGTGTGAGGCTGACAAGTCATTTCCCTTGGGTGGCACTTTCAGGGGGGCGGCAAATAAGCGCCCCCCCAAACACCCTGGCAGATGCTCTTGTACTGGTGGGCCCAAGAGCTGGCCGGCTGGTCACCTTAGGCCCCCACCTCTGAGGCTGGCATCTGCTCATGGAGGTGGGCGACTAGGGAGCGCTGCCCCCTGATTTCCTGCTGCTCAGCTCCCTTGCGCGCTCCACCCTGCCCAGCAGTAATGCCAGAACTGGGATATGACAGTACTCCGGCATCACTAAGAGGCACGAGGGAGCTGGATTTACTTGGACCGGTGTTCCGCGGCAATTACGGTCGGGAAGGGACTGCCGGAGACCCCAGCAGCACTCCGGCCACCTTGGCCCTCCAGGGCCATGTGATCACCATGATCACATCGCCACAATAGGACTCTAGGAGCTGCCAGCAGGGGGACTCCCCCAGGCTGCTAAAAAGTAAAAACATTTAAATAAAATAAATATGTTATAGATATATGATATATGTATAATATATTTTAAAATAATTAAAGCATTTTATAATATATTAAAAATATATAATGCATATATATGATTTCATTATAAGTGTATTTTGAAATATATACACATATATCTCAAAATACACTTATAATGACATCATGTACAGGCCCGGACTGGCCATCGGGCATACCGGGCAAATGCCCGGTGGGCCGCGATGGCCATGGGGCCGAGTCCGGCAGGGGATCTCCCCGGCCGGCCCTTGCAGTGCCAGCGCTATCCGAGCGCCGGCCCTGCTGTGTGCCTCCATGGGCCGGTGGGGAGATCAAAGATCTCCCTCACCGGCCCACAGGCAATTATAACCGGCCGCCAGCAGGAGAGTGAGGGAGGCAGGAGAGAGCTGGGTCCTCTTGCGGGATTCTGAGCGTTGCCGCGGTTACCGCGGCAACGCTCAGATCTCGCGAGAGTGAACTCTAACCTGCAGGTTAGAGTTCACTCTCACCACTGGACCACCAGGGAAGGCAGCATGGCTCCCCTCATGGCACCCCTGGCAGAACGGATCTCCACCCCCCCCTCCCAGGATAAAGGTAAGACGGGAGGGGGGGATATAATTTTTTTTTTTTATTAATAAAAAAAATATATTTAAATTTAAATTAAAAATACATTAACTCACACCCTCACACACACAGCACCCAGACAGACAAACACAGCACCCAGACACAGCACCCCCCAGACACACACAGCACCCCCCAGACACACACAGCACCCAGCACACAGCAGACACACACAGCACCCTCACTCACACACACAGCACCCCAGACACACACACAGCACCCAGACAACACACACAGCACCCCCAGACACACACAGCACCCAACACACACAGCACCCCAGACACACACAGCACCCCCCAGACACACACCGCACCCCCAGACACACACAGCACCCAGACACACACAGCACCCCCAGACACACACAGCACCCCCCAGACACGCACAGCACCCCACAGACACACAGCGCAGACACACACAGCACCCCCAAAACACACAGCACCCCAGACACAGCACCCCCAGACACACACAGCATCCAGACACACACAGCACACCCCAGACACACACAGCATCCAGACACACACAGCACCCCCAGACACACACAGCACCCAGACACAGCACCCCCCCAGACACACACAGCACCATAGGCGTGCGCAGCCTATTGTATTAGGGTGTGCACCCTAAAGCACAAACACACGCCGCGCGTGTGTGTGTATGTATATTATATATATATATATATATATATACATATATATATATATATATATATACATATATATATATATATATATATATACATACATATATACGTATATATATATTCCCAGACACACACACTCACAGACACACACTCACAGAAACACACACACACTCACAGACACACACACTCACACACACATACTCACACACTCACACACACACAGACACACACTCACAGACTCACACACACATACTCACACACTCACAGACACACACTCACACACTCACTGACACACACACTCACAGACACATACTCACACACTCACAGACACACACTGACACACACTCACAGACACACACTGACACACACTCACAGACACATACTCACACACTCACAGACACACACACTGACACATACTCACACACTCACTGACACACACACTCACAGACACATACTCACACACTTACAGACACACACTGACACACACTCACAGACACATACTCACTCACTCACAGACACACACACAGACACACACTCACAGACACACACTCACAGACACACACTGACACACATACTCACACACTCTCAGACACATACTCACACACTCACAGACACACAGACTCACAGACACACACATACTCACACACTCACACACTCACAGACACACACTCACAGACACACACACACACACACTGACACACACACTGACACACACACACACACACTCACTGACACACACTCACTGACACACACACACACTCAC